AGAAATGGCCGCTGCCCTTGGTAACCATCGTAAGTTATTCCGTCTGATACGGGAAACGGGCAGCAGGAGACCTGGTGTTAGTGCTACTATAGGTGACGAGGGTGGACAGCCTATCCACAACTTATCAAAACGCTTAGAGCGTTGGGCTGAGCAATTTAAAAGAATATTTAATCGGTCGGAATGGTTAGATTTCTCGCCGGCGACTGATCGCCCTGCTCCCTGGGCTCTCCCTTTGGATTCACCCTTTCGCTCAGAAGTCGAATGTGAGATCGGACTGTTGAAGTTAAACAAAGCCGCGGGACCAGATGATCTTCCTCCAGTTCTCTTCAAATTCGGGTGACCTGCTCTTGTGGATAATTTACACGCGTTACTAGTGAAACTGTGGGAGCAGGGAACTCTGCCAATCGATTGGAGCCGCTCCGCCATAGTCCCAATTTTCAAGCGAGGCTCACGATCGGAATGCGGCAACCATAGAGGAATCAGTCTGATCTCCATCGCCTCCAAATTGCTCGATTCTGTCATCCTTCACAGACTGACTGGCACTCGTGAAAGCCAGATTCGTGAAGAGCAAGCCGGATTTCGTCTAAGTCGTGGCCGCATTGACCACATCTTCACTTTGCGTCAGTTGTTGGAGCACCGTCACATATATTGGCGGCCCACCGTTGTCGTGTTCCTCGATATTAAAGGTGCATTCGATTCGGTGGATAGACGTGCACTTTGGAACTGTCCACTCTGGAAAGATGTACCTGAGCAATATGTAAATATTATCCGGGCATTATATGCGCATAGCTCGTGCAAAGTGAGGGCTTACGGGAAGCTGTCGTCGCCCTTTAATATATCCAGCGGTGTGAGACAAGGATGCCCGCTGTCACCTTCCTCTTCAACTTCGCTGTTGACGAAGTCATGGAAGTCGCGTTTACAAGACACGACTTAGAAGGGGTGGATCTGCTCCCAGGAGAACGACTTCTTGACTTGGAGTATGCTGATGATATTGCCCTAATCTGTGACAGCTCACAAACATGCCAAGCCGCACTGGACAGATTAGCACTAGCTGTCCGTCACTTCGGGCTTTGCTTCGCACCTTCGAAGTGCAAAGCGTTCCTCCAAGATTGGTCTGGACCGCCTCCTTCGCTGATCGTTGGTGGGGACCAGCTAGAAGTCGTTCAAAAATTCAGCTAACTGGGAAGTTGTACCAGGGCCCGTTGGATTGAAGATGAGATCACGAAACGTATAGCAAAAGCTCGGGGCGCTTTTGCTAACCTTCGTCACTTATGGCGCCGGTGCGACATCACTCTTGCCCTGAAGGATAGAGTGTACAATGCAGTGGTACGTTCGACCCTACTGTACGGTTGCGAAACCTTGCCCCGCTTAAAGCAGCGGACCTGAAGAGGCTAGTTGACCGATCACCGTTGACTTCATAATTTAGCTCACATCTGGTGGGTACACCGCGTGAGCAACGAGCGTGTTCGGCGCCTCGTTTACGGCACAGGAAAAGGAACTGAAACGCTCAGCACAGTTATTTTACGCATCAGGCTCCGATGGCTCGGCCACGTGTTACGCATGCCAACCCACCGACTCCCGCGACTTGTGTTGTTTGCGCGCCGGGGGTGTGGATGGAAGAAGAGGAGGGGTGGCCAAGCGATGACTTGGTCGAGAGGAATGAAGGCCCTCACTTCTGAGCTGGCCTCGGTTGGAGCGTCTCGGCTCCCTGGTTGGGGTCCGAAAGAAGATGAACACGTTTGGTTGGACACACTTGCCGACATGGCAAGGAGCCGACCTCAGTGGCGTTCGTGCTGTGAGTTTCTTTGTCCCACCCCATCCCTCTTAGCCTCCCCCTCCAAACACGGTCTCATTATTTAGCCTTATATAATTTTGCATAGTAAGTTTTTTGATGCACAGTAGCCGGCTGGTAGCTTACCGGAACGATGCCCATCCGTTACCGGTATCTTAGCTGACTTACACCAGTTGCATTTCTTTCTTCTTTTTTTGTATTGCGGCACAGTAGCTGAAGTGTTCCCCACCTCCAGCTAATGTGTAGTATGATGATGATGATGAGATTCATAACAGTTTTACTGTTCCAATAATCATTAAGTTGCATAGGTCCACCCAAGCATCCACACCAAATAAGCGATGGCTTATGTAGAGAGACAGGAGAAAATGGGGACACCGCCTTTGAGTGAGATGAACTGCTCCCTTGATCAAAAAATCGTGCGCATAATTATCCGCTATGTACGCAGTTCTGTTACCTTAACATGATCACAATGTGATCTGAACACCGTCCAGTCGTCTTCTTCTTTCCCTTCTTGCTAACAAATTTCTGATTTTCTGTTTAGAACGTGATAGTTCCAATTTGATTTCCAAAACCTTCCACTTGATTTGCAATGCATCTTATTTTGCTTGAAACTTTCACTTTTGTTGCAGAACATTCAAGTTAAAATGAACAATAAATGAACAATGAATTTATACGGGTTAAGAAGCGTTGCTTTACAAGCCACGTTGAATAGTTGGTGGGAATTTCAACATAATAATTATGATGAAAAGGATAGTAAATTAGTTAACACTTTAAATACGAAAATAAGGACTTATCGTTTGCTTCGCTGCAGTCCTGCGATCCACTTAGATTCACAACACCCACAGTTAACAACAAATAATTCCAGGGTAAACTCCAGGTGTAGGATGGAGACATAGTGTTAAGTAACAAAGTGTAAGTGGCTGAGTGCATCGTCCAACCGTCTTTTAATATTGTTAGTGTCAGTGCACAGACGACCGATTCTGGGAGAGCATTCCACGGGTGACAGACACGGATGGAAAAGAAATTCCTGCGGCACTCCAGACGACTGTATTGTTCTGCGAGTTTTAATGAGTGGCCCCTCAGGTTTGTATTGCTGCTGAGTTGCAGTAAAGGGCGGCACACATGATGTGGGTCTCGCAGAATCAAGTATGTCATAATCAGGTCGCCTCATAGCCTGCGATAGCTTCCACTGAACAATCCTAGTCGTCGCAGCCTCTCCTGGTAGGACAGGTTGCGCATTCCAGTTACGTTCTTAGATGCCCGGCGTTGAGGCTGCTCCAGTGCATTAAGGTCTTGTTTCAGCCATGGATGCCAGGCTTGAATTGCGTATTCGACATAAGGGCGAACACATGCACTGAGCATTTGTCGAAATATGGAGCTGTTTATTTGTCCAAACGCCCGCCTCAACAGCCCAACGTGTTGGTTCCTGGTCTTCGAGGCCTTTTCGGATTGCCTGGAGCAACCCAAGTCATCTTGAACCAGGACACCCAAGTCACGTTCGAGAGTTGATTGTTGCAGTACATCCGTTCCGAGTCGGTATGAGTAGCTGCCGTGATGTCGGATGGAAAGCACCTTGCATTTACTGACATTGAAATGCAATAAGTTTTGGATCGACCATTGATACACTGTATCTAAGTCACTTTGGAGCACATGTTGGTCGGCGTTCGCCTGGATCCTGCGCCAGATCTTGATATCGTCGGCAAACATTAGGAAGTTTGAAGCGATTCCCTGTGCAAGGTCATTAATAAACACCAGAAACAAACGTGGACCTAGAACCGAGCCTTGCGGCACACCACACTTGACTTGTATGGGGTCCGATAAAGAGCTCCGAACTCTAACCACTAATTGCCTTTGAAGTAGAAAGTTGGCGATCCAGCTTAAAAGAGGGTCGCCGATCCCGTAATGCTGCAGCTTGGATAGTAGTATCCGATGGTCTAGACGATCGAAAGCCTTGGAAAAATCCAGGTAGATCACATCAACACCTTCTCCAGCGTCGGCTGCCTCGGTCCAACTACTGCGTGCAATGAGTAAATTAGTTGTGCATGACCGCTGTCGACGGAAACCGTGCTGTTCAGGAGTGATGAGGTTGCAGTTTTCCAGATAGCACATCAGTGCATCGGCAACTATGGATTCCATGACCTTGGAGAGTATAGGAAGAAGGGTTACTGGGCGGTAGTTGGAGGGATCAGATCTGCTTCCACCTTTGTGAATCGGGCTTATTATTCCAAGCTTCCACATGGCGGGAACTTGGTTCCGGTCTAAGCAGTGCTGAAAAAACTGAGCTAAATGTCCTGCCAGTTGGTTTGCTGCTACTCCCAATACCTCTGGACGAATGGCGTCGACACCCGGCAAGCTGTGTTTGCGTAGAGAAGTCAGCTTTTGCAATACAGCCTCTGCGGTAAAATTGATGTGGGTTAGTCCTGGTGAGCAGAATACAAAGCTTGGTAGATCGCTTGGTGGCAAGACCCTTTGAAACATGGGAGCGTATTGCATCTGCAGCGCGTTTGCAGCTTCCGTAGACGTTCTTGTTTGGCCATCAGCCGTCTTGAGTGGAGGAAATCCTTGCCTCACCTTTCGTAGGCTATTAACGTGCTTGTACAGCAGTTTGTGGTTAGCACTGAAGGTTTTCGCGATGTTCTGCTGATAGGCGGCTTTGTCGTGTCTTAACAGTTGAGTGCAGTGGTTACGTTGGGCTACGTAGTTGTCCCACGTTTCTGGTGCTGGAGCTTCTCTGTACACTCGCCATGCTGCGTTGCGTACTGTCATCCATCTTCGGGTTCTGCTCCTAACGAAAGAAACAGATTTGCGCTTATTGCAAGCTTTTATCTCTGAAGCCTGTGCAATCAGCTGACTGAATGTGTTGACGAACTCGAGCCAGGCGACTTCCGGGGGTTCTTCTTCGAGGAAAGACAAAGTTTTGGCGCTGACCAGCTTGGCGAGTCGGTCGTACCTTGTGATGGTGTAATACGCGCGGACTGGATAATTTTAGAGAAAAGGGTTTCCCGTATAGACTCATGGAAAATTCATTTCTATATTTTAATATTTTCATTATTCATTAAACATTTTCTTTATTACTTTCTCTTATACTCGATTACTCCAATCCCCATATCAAACAAAAATCCACCCATATACTATTTTAATTCCCCATTTCATTCTCATTACATACACAATCACCCACCAATATATTTCCAACAACTCTAAATTCCCATTAACCCCCCCCCCCCCCCACCCCCCCCCCACCCACAAACCCACCCCACACCCCCCACCCCCAAAAACAACCCAAAAAACCAAAACCCCCACCCCCCCACACACCAACAAAAACCCCCCCCAAACCCCCCCCAACCCAACCACCACCCCCCACACCCCAACCAACACCACCCACAAAACCCCAACACACCACACAACCCCCACACCCCCCCCACCCCCCCACCCAACACCAAACCACCCACACCCCCACCCCAACACACCACCAACCCACCCCTAAACCCCACCACAACCAACAAACATACCCACCCCAACACCACACCCCACCCCAACCACCACCCACCACCACACCACCAACCCACACCCAACATCACACACCCCAAAACAACCGTGTCACAGTATATCTACTATTGTCCCACTCACTCACCACACGATGTGACTCACTCACACAAGCTCCGCTACTCAGCCCACCCAAAAACCCTAACCAAAACACACCCCACACAACCCAACAACACACACATTTCCCACCCGTAGAGATATATATACTACATCCACACCACACACTATCCAAATCACATGCTGCCATCAATATAAAGAGTCACATGTGTTGTGATGTCTCGCTGTGTCCCCCTCCATTTATCAGTGTCGTGTTCAGTCTCTCATAGTGTATAAGAGAGTTGTGTACGACAGTGTACTGTCTCTCACTCACTCTCTTCGCTCCTCTCACGCACATGAAATGATACTTCTGTTACTCACTCAACTAGACTATTAAAGTAGTGTTCTAGTGATAGATAGTTCCCTCTGACATTGTGGAGACTGTAACACGCCCGCAGTCCAGTGTGCACTTAACACTTTCCTAAGTTGTGCCTCAACTTTGTCGTCCTCTATGTGTCTTGCTCTCCAGTTCATCATTAACTATTGTGTTATCTTGTGTATGTCTTGTCAACTACGTTCTGTTGATGACCTCACTCTCCCTGTCTCTGTGATCGCTCCTCTGTTATAGTCATTTCCTAGCTCAATAGAATTATTGACACACACTATGAGTGTCAGCCTATATATAGACCTATCGATGACGCTCCGTTACCTACCTGTAATCACTACCACTCACGCGTATAGATGTGCACCATAGAGGATCCTTGTGAAGACCTACACTTCTGTGACAATCGCTAATGATCAACAACTTAGCTATCTACACACTCACAGAATAGTGTAGACACAGCCATAGTCTCTACCAGTGTGACTCGACGCCGCCCCACAAATGTATCTCACTTACACACTGTGCTCATCGCTCTTGTCTCATCGCATCCTTACACCAATGTAATATCGCCTGATGTAGTCCGTGCCCACACTTGAGCTGCGTGTCCCATATGTACATGATCCCATGACTTGTGTTGTGTACTATTGCCAATCCTTCACTGTAATATAACTCAATAGACCATCATTTCTCATAAGTGATCTCCGTAACCTCAACCTATCTTCACAGAACCCTCAGATGTCGTCACGAGCTCACGAGTTACAGTCCACCCTTCTGATGTACTTATCCCGCCCGCCTCCTGTCATATGGTATATTTAAGTGACCTTCAATAATGTGAGCGCACTGTGACACCTTATGACTATTCACGGCACTAACTGTGTGCTCGACAATGAATTCGTGTACAACAGCTACGTTCTACCAACATCATCTGTTCTGTTGACTATCATCAACAACCTCTGAAGTTGTCCTGTGATCTTTCTAGCTCCAACAGAAGCCTGCTCGAGACAAACTCTCAGTGTGTCTCATCGCTCAACCCTTAGTGACCACACACAATCTAAACATCTCACTCTGATGTATGCACCGAGCAGCTCTGTTATCTACACCCCCACACCTGCATCAGGTGTCTTTCAGGTAGCTGCATGGTCCTTATAATGTATAACGTATCTTGTAACGTGTATCTATAAAAACACACCCCCTTGTTGACATCTACAGAATACATGTAGTGCACTAATCCATCACAGTCCACACACCATACTCTCACAGTCAGCTAGTGCACCAATTCTCCATGTAATACGCCTTTATTACATCGATGAGAACGTGTGCCTCCACAGCGTAATGTGCACTCATCGATTTCCCCAATGTGCTCAGCACTCCATAGTGTGTTCTACTATACCTGTGCGCCACGATGCCTAGAGTGTGTACAGTGCCCCTGTGAAAGTATGAACATAGAATACACAATACTCTTCCAGTCACGGTCATATATGTCTGTCTACTGTCCACCCACTAACATCATAGCGTGTCACAACTCTCCTATACTCCCCTCCTGTCCAGTGAACCAGAACAATTACTTCTAGTCATTCTACAGTAATCAGTATCCACCCCATGAGATACCTGAACAACCCCCGCTCCTAGAGCCTATCCACTCAGATAGTCCCGCAACATAAGTGTTCAATGTCGACACACCCCTTGCTAGTACCATGTCTGTTGTCACTTGTGCCACACTACTAACGCACCTTACCACTTTTCTCCACACACTACTCTACGTTCACACTCTTTCAATCAGACACACTCATCATATACAGTCACACAGTTGTACATATCCACTATCCGCTCATATCCATTTCCTCCCATCTGTCATTCCCTCTACCCTCACTGTCCAGTCAGCATGTGCCTCCATACTGTAGTCATCATTGTGATCAGTTGTAGAGACAGCAAATACCTCCCACTCGTATAGTGAAGTCTGTATCTTACACCGTGCACACGCATATCTACTATATACCCTACTACAAGTCTATTCATACTAGACTCCCTACCAATCACTCTCATCTCTCACACTCCTCTCTATACCAGACATGAGAATACCTCTCTAAACTACTTGTGTGTGTGCATGTTGTTGTGTGTCCTGTTGGTGAAGTGTGTGTCATGTGTGTTATGTGTAGTGTCATATAGTTAATATTAAGATAGTATATTGTCTGTGTTTTCTTGATACCTATATGATAATTAGAGTGATTTTATATATGATTAATATCCCCCAACCAACCCCCCAACCCCAACCATCACCCCCCACTAGCGCGTGTGCTGAGTGTGTTGCTTGATGTGTTGTCTGTGTTGTGTGACCTGATGGTGTGTGTGCAGTGTGTGTGCTGCTCTCGACCCCCTATCGTAGCCATTGCTCTCTTGCAAACTGATCTAGTGTCACACTTAAAGCACCCATATACGCCATTATCGCTGTGCGTCTGTTCGTCCACCTGCATCGTGTCCACTCTGCTGTTTAAACAAACAAGTGTGAAGACTATAGGTGATCGTTGAGTCTTGCTAATAACACCCAGTAACTCTAAACTTGACTCAATGTCAAAGTCTGCGCTGTGTAGTTCCAACCGTACTGTTACCAGTAGATAGATGCTCTTTGCCTACTGCATCCTGATGTGCATCTCCCCATATAGTCAGATCTACTCTTGTCTACCCTGTGTCCTGACTGGTAATCCCAGTCCCCACGTTCATCAATGTCCCACCCTCCTTCATCCCTTCCACTTATGTCTCACGCTTGACGCCATCCGTGCTCGGTCACCACTCCCACCTCTGTCTGTAGCATAAACATACCTGTCCAGCTCACTGTTCTCGATGTGTAATCTGAGTATATACTGACAATGAGTGGTAGTTGTGTGCACTATCACTGCCTTGTCACTGTCAGTCAAGATTGTAATCGAGTAACACTCCAACTCCTCGCCTGTGCGCCGAATTATGCCTCTGATGCATATATACTTATATGGTGACATCAAGCGCTGTGTTCACCTATAAATGCGCGCTCACTACTATGAGCCCATATAACCACACTCTTATATATATGTCGAGTTCTTCTGCTGCCTACAAAGCATTTCCTCTCGCTGTATATTCCTCCAAGAGAATAGAACCGTGCTCTCGCTAAATGCTACGAGATATAGATATCTATAACCGGTGTCTCCATAGATGGTGCGGCTAGCTAAATGTCTCGTGTATGTACCTATGTGTGTCATACGATATATACAGCGTGTACTCTCATGGATACTAGTGCTCTCACATCCTCTAATACTTCTTGTGTGTCCTTATCTCACTATAGATCATGCTATAGTAGTGGCACCATTCTCTGCTATGTGTCAATAAATCGGATGCATCACACATATATATAACGATACAGTGACTCTTACTCGCTAGCTTGCCATAGTCCTTCTCCAACATCTGTGAGATATGTATATCCTGACCAATGTTCAAGCTAGCCACATGTTCCCCACCACGTGGTTGTGCACTGTGCTACGCTGGACAACGCTCCACCTGCTGTGATCCTTGTGTCATATTGCGAATCTTCTCTTTCATTTCGTGATCCCGTGACTCTGCACTTGTCTAATAGATCTCCCTCTCTCGCCCGAATGTGTTACTCGTGTGTATATAAATCGCAGATACTCACAACAAAGAGTTGTATATATAAAAACGTCTTGTATGCGATATGTAGCTCGAACTACATCAGATGCAGAGCTAGCTGATAGAAACCATTAGTGAGACATGTAGTTCTGTCGTCTTGTCACGATCGCGTCCCTCTGACCGAGAAACGAGTAACGTGATGCGTTAAAGGATCTCCGTCCATTCTCTAGAAATGATCAGTGTTGTCTAAAGATATTCGAGAGTGGTAAAAGCAAATGAATGTGTCTCATATAAACCATTACCCCCCAACCCTTACCCTTTTTCCCCCTCCCAACAAATCCCATTTTCACCCACCCCAATTAACTCCAAAAACCACTCCACATTCCTATAACATCCCTCCACCCCCCCCCCCTCCTCCCCCCACCTTTTTCATCCCCTCACTTCCCTCCCCCCCCCAATCATTACATCATTTATATCCACTTCATTATATCATAACACCTCCCAACCCCCCAATCCATACCTATAACCATCAAACTCCTTCTGTCCCCATATATCCATAATAATCTCCACCCTCTCCCCATATCACCACATAACCACAAATACCACCCATTACCATCTATTACCTAAACAACCCCAACCACCCACCGCCAAAAAACCCCCCCCGCCTCCCCCCACACCCCCCCCCCCCCCCCCCACCCCCCCCACACCCCCCCAATCCCCCCCCCCCCCCCCCCCCCCACCCCCCCCACCCCCCCCTCCCCCCCCCCCCCCTCACCCCCCCCACCCCCCCCCCCCCCCCCCCCCCCCCCCCCCCCCCCCCCCCCCCCCCCCCCCCCCCCCCCCCCCCCCCCCCCCCCCCCCCCCCCCCCCCCCCCCCCCCCCCCCCCCCCCCCCCCCCCCCCCCCCCCCCCCCCCCCCCCCCCCCCCCCCCCCCCCCCCCCCCCCCCCCCCCCCCCCCCCCCCCCCCCCCCCCCCCCCCCCCCCCCCCCCCCCCCCACCCCCCCCCACCCCCCCCCCCCCCCCCCCCCCCCCCCCCCCCCCCCCCCCCCCCCCCCCACCCCCCCCCCCCCCCCCCCCCCCCCCCCCCCCCCCCCCCCCCCCCCCCCCCCCCCCCCACCCCCCCCCCCCCCCCCCCCCCCCCCCCCCCCGCCCCCCCCCCCCCCCCCCCCCCCCCCCCCCCCCCCCCCCCCCCCCCCCCCCCCCCCCCCCCCCCCCCCCCCCCCCCCCCCCCCACCCCCCCCCCCCCCCCCCCCCCCCCCCCCCCCCCCCCCCCCCCCCCCCCCCCCCCCCCCCCCCCCCCCCCCCCCCCCCCCCCCCCCCCACCCCCCCCCCCCCCCCCCCCCCCCCCCCCCCCCCCCCCCCCCCCCCCCCCCCCCCCCCCCACCCCCCCCCCCCCCCCCCCCCCCCCCCCCCCCCCCCCCCCCCCCCCCCCCCCCCCCCCCCCCCCCCCCCCCCCCCCCCCCCCCCCCCCCCCCCCCCCACCCCCCCCCCCCCCCCCCCCCCCCCCCCCCCCCCCCCCCCCCCCCCCCCCCCCCCACCCCCCCCCCCCCCCCCCCCCCCCCCACCCCCCCCCCCCCCCCCCCCCCCCCCCCCCCCCCCCCCCCCCCCCCCCCCCCCCACCCCCCCCCCCCCCCCCCCCCCCCCCCCCCCCCCCCCCACACCCCCCCCCCCCCCACCCCCACCCCCCCCCCCCCCCCCCCCCCCCACCCCCCCCCCCATCACTCCCATCTTTCCCCAAACCCCCCCACACTCCACTCCCCACCTACATACCCCACCAATTCCCTACCCTCAACCACTCATCTACAAACCCCACCAAATTTCACCCACCCCCACCCCCCCCCCCCCCCACCCCCCAAAAACCCCTACCCCTCTACACAATTTAATACACCCTCCAAATACAAACCCACCCTCCAACCCCCTCCTCCAACCAAAACCCCCCCCAAAAACTACCCAAACTCAGCCTACCACCCACCCCCCCCCCCACCCCTCACCCCCACCACATCCCCTCTTTCTTACATCAACCCCCCCCTTCACACACCCCAATCCCCAACCCCCTCATCCACACACCATCAATTCACCCCCATTATCCTATATCGACCCATCACATAACCCACACTCTCTCATCTATTACTACACTTACATCCCCTTCTTACTAAACCCCCTTCCTACACCCCACCTCCTAACACCACTAACCACCCCTCCTACTCCCCTCTCCCCCCCCTACCCACCCCCTCCCCCCCCCCCCCCCCCCCCCCCCCCCCCCCCCCCCCCCCCCCCCCCCCCCCCCCCCCCACTACGAGAGAACACGTCGAGTTGCCCGCGTGGTTCAAAAAGTGTGTTATTTATCAATCAAAACAAGTGTACAAGGTTAATGTACAAGAATGGGTTGTAATAGGAAAGGAATGTACAATGAAAGATAAGTAAATTTACAAGCGCTACAGAGCTGTCAAGTGTGGGAGAATGCCGACCGATGGGAGGTCGGCAGTTATTCGTTTTTTTGATGGATCAATGATACCTTGTTTGCAACTTGCTTCGGCCAAGGTGCGTCCCAGCCTTCGTTTGGACCTACGTCAGAGTCAATTAAAGCAGCAGTCAAGTTACACTTCTGTACATTCGTCAGGATGCTTGATGCTTCAGTTGCTTTAATACTTGAGCTGTGCGAATTGTTTGCGACCTTTAACCAAATTTCGGAAGGAAGATGTTTCCGATTTCTCCGCCATCGATCCAAAACATCCTTTGCTTGTTGCTCTGTCTGAACCACAAATTTTAGGATTCTAGGGCCGCATCCTCTATAATTCGATGAGAGAGGTATCCTGGTGAGCGATAGTGCCACAACATCATCCAAAGAAAGTGTTTCACGAATGAACCGCCACTGTTCTACATCGTGCTTTCCAGTATCTTGAACATGGTTAGAAGGATGTTCTGGCACGCCATGTATGAAGACTGTGTTTAGGCCGTCTTGCTTGCTGTGCCCCTCTTCGGTGTTTCGTTTTGGTTGTCGCGCGCTCCAAGGGACATCAGGATAGATACGTATCGCACAGGATTCGTGTTTTAGCGCGCTTGCGGAGAGCAAAACATTTTCCACGTCGGTGGAGGATTCTAGAGTTACTCGAATAAGTCTGGGTTCACCATACTGTGGCGAGTTCGGATGACGAGTAATTCGTAACAAGTTTATGGGCTTGGCTTTGATACTCATCTGCAAACACAATGAGTTCCATTGGTCTTGGTCGTCTGATAACTTACCCCGCAATGTGATGGCGGTAGATTCAGGAACATTTGAGCATACAACAGTCCGGGCACTGTTGTTGGATCCCTTTTTAATCGATCTACTAGGCATGGTACTCATTTGTCTTGACTTGTTGACAAGTGATTGTTTGCTGTTTTTATCTCCATTTGCGTTAACGGTGCTTACAATGGAAGAGGACGAGGACGCAACGGCGGCCTCTCGGTGGACCCTTGCAGCAATCTCTGCATATGTAACCGATGTTCTGGGAGGCTTAGTCTCAACAAGAGATATTTGAGCTACAGGTACCAAGGGTTGGTGTTTGGCTGCTCCATCCTTGTTAATACTAGATGTCAGGTCTAGTGGAATTTGCTTAACCAGACGTTTTGAATGGTGCCTGATTTTCTTTGCTGTGAGTACTGCTTGATTCACGTAGGTACAGTCTGTTTTCGCCCGGCGTTCTACCAAAGTTGGAGAAGACAACGGAGATGGAGACATGGCTGATTGCTGTGCAGGCGAAGCGATTTGTTCAGCATTCCGTTGCTTAGCAGCCGCTACGCTTCTGTGGTCCATACTCGCTCCCATTGAAGTAATCTCATTGTTTATCCTCTGCTCTGCTTCTGCGATTAACCGGTCGCATTTCTCAGCTAGGATAAGCAAGCACTTAACGAGGGGGATGGTGGAACACGCAATACAGAACCAAAATGCATCTTGGGAGCTATTTCGCTCCCGTAACTGTTGTTGGGACACATTTGCACATTTCGTATGGTACCATGCTAAACAGTGCGAACAAGCCAGACCGATTTTTACCACCCGATGACATTCTCCTAACCCGCAAATGCCTTTCGATGGGAGTCTCTTCGGTTTCGCCTTTCTGCCATTCAATTTGGTGTCGTTACCTGACCCAGTGGGTTGGTTAGCGTTCTGTACTTTTACAGCTTTGGGAGCGGCGCACATCGGTCAGGCGAGCGGGGTGTTTGCAAGGTCAAATGAGCGGTCGGCGTGGTCGCGCGGTCCGTGTGATGGGTAATGCAGCCGCACTGGCTGACAAGGTCACAAGGAATGGCGAGTGACTGCAACCTGAACAGAGCGCTGAACACAGATTCTTTCACAGCTGTGTTGTGAAACACTGGATCGGAGTAAGCTTAGGCTTTTCGGCCTGCCTCGAGAATTCTGTATCGAATGGTGTCACACAGAATGGCAATCGGCTCAATACGACTGAATTAAACGCTTGCGCTTAATCACAGATGCGAGTGAGAACGCTTAGTGATGGCACAACCTCTAATCGTAGAAGATATTTCCACGTATGATGGATCACTGTATAGAGCTGGTAAATCCGGTTCGAATGAGCGTACAGTGACAACGCTGCGAGAAGATGGAGAGAGGATAGAGGGAAATAATCCAAATGAACCAGTAGCACGCACGTCACGCGTGTGTGAGAATGACCTTGACACAGTCGCGTGGACCAAGAATCTTATGTGTATTATATGGACGTTTGTGCATTTTTATGCTCCACCGGTTTCCGTTGTCTGTAGTTTATCGTTTGAGAATAATGTTGATCTTATATGAAATCAGCGAGGGTGCTGTTTCGTCAATCTAACATGGATTGACATACGCACTAAACAAATGCAAAGTGATCCGCTTGCTAGACTTTGGCAACGGTTCGATGTTTATGGGCTCTTCGTTTATGTATCTATGTATGAAGATGTGACTTTATCCATTGAGCTCAAAGGGAGTAGCTAGCTTTCTCTTTTCATCCCTTTTCACTTCTGCAGCAACGCAGGGTGTTTCGTTCCGACGTAACAGCGTCCGTGCGCTGCTTTTCGTTTGGCCTTTTGGGAGTTTACTGTGGAACTTGGAAATTGTGGCTTCCCTACAAAGGGCTCTTAAAATATTCGCCCTCCATTTTTCTGGTCACCTATAAGAATGGTAATTCGTTTCCTATCTCAAACTTCATTGTAAAGGGAATGCCACCCATCACATCACTGAGCAGCTGCTGTTCGATTGATACTTCATTGTGTTTGAAAATCACAAATGTATCACCATGAAGCGAAACCCCTAGCATTTTTAATTACTGGCAGCAGGCACTCTTCCATCTTCTACATGCTGATCACAATCACCCTTTGTGATAGTGGGAATCCTATTGGTTCCCACTACATTTTCTGACAGATATTTCTGTTGAGGCTGAAGTAAGTCGGGAGGTATAGTTGGTGTAGCTTGTAAATGCTTCCGGATATTAACTTACCACTTTTCTCCTAACTGTCTTTCAGGCGGCCTACGATGTCTTCTTTCGACTGCAACAAAACTGAGATTCTAGCTTAAGCATATACATGAAAGGGAAGGGTATTTTTAGAAATCAGTTTCTCTTTTCGCATGCAGACAACGACAGCTCGGAACTAATGATCTCCGGCTAATCGAAAGCCGAAGGTTGAGACAAGGTGCGCGACAAACAACTCCAGTAACCCCTACGGCTTGGGCTGCGAGGCAGATGGGCAAAGGTTAAAGAGCGTAAAACAAAGGCGTCGTTTTCAAAAGTTAGTTGCACGTTGTTCAGAGACGGATGACCCAGTTCTCAATATTGCTTGCCGCACAATACTGAACCGACAATGTCCCATTATTTGGTGACGTAAAGTATAAAAACAAGTAAGTACGTTCAACGCTATAAAGTGCAAGGTTTTGAGCATACGCCATAAAGCCACTTGCGAATACCGACTGGGGAATCAAATATTGCAGCGCACAACAACGGAATGCGGCCTAGGAGTGATATTGCAGGAAGATCTGGGCTGTTCCCGTCAGGCCGAGAAAGCCTCCAAAAAAGCAAACCAACACCTTGCCCTTTTGCGGAGGGTATTCGGGAGCTTCAATCCTTCCATCTTTTCCCAGATGCTCAACGCCTACATTCGGCCTCATTCTGAGTACGCCATCCATGCTTGGCAGCCATGGCAGAAACAAGACTTTACCGCTCTTGAACTTCCACAACGAAGGGCGACCAAGAACGTAAAGGGCTTGTTTCATCTCCCTTACCGATTGAGGCTGAAAACCCTCGGGGTCTACAGTGGACAATATCGACGCCTGCGTGGCGACTTGATAATTACTTATATGATCTTGAGGAATCCGAACCATTGTTGTCGTCACCTAGTAAAGCTGAATAGCAATGCAACACTCAGAGGACACCAGCTAAAGCTGGCCACACAATACAACCGGTTGGAATGCCGCCGGAATTTCTTTTCCCTTCGTGTGTGCCAACACTGGAACGCTCTTCCCACATACGTTGTTTCTTCCCCAACGTTAACGGTATTCAAATGACGTTTGGATGATTTACTTATCCATCTACATTACACTATATAATCAGAGATGTCCACGTTGAACAAACGTGAAAATAACGGTGCTCGTTCTCAGCTTTTGTGCTTCACTATTTACACACTGCTGTTGTGGAATATAGTATCGGATATATTACAACTGCATTCATCAATTAATCCCAGTCCAAGAAAGCGGCACACGAGTAAGCGTTGTCGTTTCTTTTGTTCTTAAGACATGCCTTACCCATATTACTTCCCATATTACTCTACAGTAACAATTCAGTACACATACTACAATGTTTCCATGAGTAAGGGGCACCTGAATCACTAGACGCTTAAACTGACGATTTACACTCTTGTTTACTTTCACTTCAACCATCCTACGGGACTTGTAAAGCTATCGCTTATTTACCTGTAATATATCATTTTTCATTGAACCCGTTAACATCCGATGGTTAATTGACATGTATTAATGCATGTTAAACACTCTTTTCCGGTTCAACCTACTAAGACAAGCTAATAATGCGGTAGATTTGGCATCTGCGCTACATCGTCGCTGTTATTTAGTCTGGACATACACGTGTGAGTTTAGCTTGTCGTATATTCAACGGCAGTTACTTGTTGATATTCCAGGTCTGATTGCGCTTCTTGCGAACGTGAACAAGGTTCATATCTGTGGAAAATGGTTACAGCGATTGTTGGCTCCATGGAATCGTTATTCGTTACTGGTAAGAACGCGGTGCGTAGTCTTCGTGACCATCGTAAGCTCATAAATTAGTTCCATCCGGTGTGGAACCTGCTGCAGCCCAGCCATCACCCAGTTAGGGTTGATTATGCATGTTTCTCCTGTTTAAAAATGACGTGCATTTTGAATGAGTGTAATCGTGATCTGACTCAATTGTGGTTTTCATCTAGATGTTTCGCGAACTTACTCTTTTGTGATTACACTGGAAAGGGTGCCTTGATGGAGTTATAGATGGTGCTGCGTAAAGTACCTATGGTTTGTCTGTAGACACAGACGTCCAGTGACTGTTTTAGTCGCAGGGACAACGCCGTATAATAGACTGTGAGGTAAATTAGATCTCAATGTAATTATTGATTCTGCGTACCATCCCTCTTCTGTCATCAGATCGTGGGGGCTGGTACACAATTAAAGATTCGTCCACCATTGGTTACAGGCAGATGTTCGTTACCTTCGCACAGCGAGCCTATGCTGTAACATGCAACAGCGCATTCACAAGAATGGGCAATTTGAACAATATCCTGGTGTGAAGGAGCCATAATGCGAATGCAAAAACGCATTGGTTGCTCTACAAGTCAATGTAGCTTTGGTCCTTTGCTTTAAGATTGAAACAAAAATTACGTAATAGGGACGTAATCCTCCTCATTACACGTTAGCCGAGGATAAGAAAGTCAACTCAGCTAATGTGCCGCAATAAAAAATGGATTTAACTACGCAGACTAAAGAACTACAAAATAGTAACGTACTGCTAAATAGTACATTATGCATACGGCAATATGTTGTCGTAAGAGAGGGAAGCTAAAGGAGAGAGAATGGATTAAGAAACTCAAAACGCAAATGTCTGCTCCCCGCCATGTCAGCCAGTGTATCCAACCAGGCGTGTTTACCACCCTTTGGTCCCCAGACAAGCAGTTGAAAAACACCAACCGACTCCAAGTTTGAAGGGCGCGCCTTCATTCCTATTGACCATGTCGTCGCCTGGCCTCCCTCCTCCTTGTCTATACACACACATCGCGGCGATCGGTGGGCTGGCGTGCGGAAAATGTGGCCCAACCATCGGAGCCTGGTGCGTGAAATAATGGTGCTGACCGGTTCACTCCCTCCTCCTGCACCAAACATAGTTCGCCAAACACGTTCATTGCTCACTCAGTGCTACCACCAGACATAAGCTAAGCTGCGAAGGCAGCGATGATCGAAAGTAACTTGGTGAACCAGGTTTAGCAACCATACAGTAAGATTGAAGATACAGCTACATCGTCAACTTTGCCCTTCAGCACGAGAGTGCAACAGACAGCTACAGACAAAAATACCTCGAGCTTTTTCAGTGCGGTTTGGGACCTCATTGTTCATTGCGCTGGCGCTGACATAGCTGCCCAGATACTAGAATTGCTCGAGGACTTCTAGCTGACCACCCCTAAGAGTCAGCGCAGGCGTGGGTCCCTACGGATCTTGAAGGGGCTTTTCATTTTGAGGGTGTGAAGCATAACTCGAAACTGACAGACAATGCTAATTTGTCAAATGCAACTTGGAATGTTCGGGAGCTGTCACTTCTAAGTTCAACATCTTCGGCGTAGTCGGTTAAGGAGTTGAGCACCTGGGAGCAGCTCCACGCCTTTCAGAGCGTGTTCAGTGCACGCAGTCCCCATAACTTCGTCATTGACGAAGTTAAAATAGAAAGATGACAGCAGGCACACTTGTTTCACACCGTTGGCAATACTGAAAGACGTTAAAACTTTGCCGTGAACCCTTATTCTGCCCCAACTATGCACGTAGAGCGCTCTGATAATGTTTGCGTATTTAGCGGGCACAATTCTCCTAAGAAGATAGTTTCAAACGGCACATCAGTCCACTGAAACGAAGGCAACTTGGATGTCTAGAAACACGACAGCGGTGGCTGCTGGTGTACTGCTCGTGCACCTGGCTTTCACGGATGCCAGGCAGTATATGAGGGACGGGAGAGATAAGTAACCTAGAGACAATGGAGATGAGCCGAATTTCCCTATGGCTGCCGCATTCTGAACGGCAGCCTCCCTTGAAAATTGAGTTTACGACGGAGCGGCTCCAGTCTGTTGGGGCAGTCTCCTGCTCCGATAGATGCACTAATAACTTATTTAATTCGTCCAAAGTGAAAGTCCACCAAATTTTAAGTGGATTGAATGAAGTCTGTCTGCTGCAGCAGCTTTGATCAACTTCAGCCATCTGATCTCACATTCGATTTCTGCGCATGTGAGTGAATCCAATGGGACGGCCCAGGTAGTACTGCGCTCACTGGCTGACGGAGAAGCTGGTAACTATGACTGATTGAGCTGTTTCTCAGTATTCGGCCAAACGCCCCAGGCGTCTTGACAATCTGTGGATCGGCTGTCCGCTCTCTTCGCACATAGTCTGCTTAACACCAGGTTTCCTGTTGTTGGTTTATCTTATCAAACGGAATAAATTCCTGTGGATAGCAAAGTCAGTGGCTCTCCCCATCTCCCGGGCACGATGAGATCAATAGGCTACGCGTTCTCTCTTCATGTTAGCACAAACTTTGCAAGCCTCGTTTTGTTAGTCTTCAGGCAGAACATGTCAACCAGCATCCAGAAGATCTAGTGACTGCGTGGAGACCCAATGTCTATTTCTGCAATTTGATTTGCCACACGATGACATGACGGCGGCTAATAACGTCTAGCGCATATGCGATCAGTAAGCTTCAATGGTGTCCAATGCGTGTTTTCTCATCCCGGATACCAGTGTACTCTGATACGCATACGGAACAGCCGGCTTTGCAATATGGCAAGTAGCTATGAGCTCATTGAGCGACATTAATTATCATGAACAGTTCAATCAGTACTGCTAGAGGCTGGTTCCACATAGCCAATGGTTGGACAAAATTTAAATCATAGAAGTAATTTCTAGAAGCAGTGTGCATTAGATATACTGCATACCGATGCTACTCCACCCCCGTTGGTTCAAGAAAATCCGTCGGACGAATTCGGTTGGATTAGTGCATTCACTGCTTACGACCATGATGAGCCCCGACACTTTTACGCATTACATTACTCTGAGATGCGTCAACTAAGCCAGTTTAGATATGTAACGGCGTAGCAGTAATACGTAGCCTCTAGATTCGTACAGCACATGCTGGTATTGCTGTCGATGCGATGTATGTCCTGCTCCGTTATTTACACTTAGTTCACCTGAAGGATGGGATATATGTTAAAAGGCTTACGTTAGCCACTAGGTCCCATAACAGATTAATCGATGCTCAACTCATTTGCTAACGCAGTGGCTGTCCATATGAGGATATCACAGATTACTGGATCCTTAGGAGCTCTGCCAGGTGCTGTAAGTTCGAAGGTACCAGAAGCGCTGGTAAACCGAGTGGTTTGCTCAGATTTTACCAGACCTGGTTACAAAATTTCGCAACTTGGCGGGTGAGGAGGCCAACGGACGTAGGATGACCCGTGGCACCCCCAGTACCTATCCAAGTGTTAATTCCGTCCTGTAACGTACTGCGGGTAGATCACTACGTCGTGTACATCGCGTACTCATTTTTCTCGCATGTTTAGTTGACTAGGTGATAGACAGTTATCATCACTAAGTAAAACATGCAAGATACTCTTAAGTGTCCTGGTGAACATTAAAACGGCGGCGTCTTAGTATCGTTGTGTTTCTGGTTTTACGTTAAGTGAGTTCGCTGTCACAAGAGTCTCTTCTACGTTGGTGGGTATGGGTAAGCTCCAAAGAACCACGACTGTGAAAAGCCACATTTTTGATGTTATTTCTTTAGCTAAATAATGGGATGCAGTTTGTGGATGCCTAGATCAAGACGAATTTTGTCGTTTCATAAATCCAGATGGCCTGTGGCCCTTCGCAGTCTTTTTGACCCATTATTTCTCTATATTAAACCGTACTAAATATCAAGCCCGCAGTAGATGCAATGTTTCCCCAATGTACCTATGGAAAGCCATGGCCTGACAGCAAACACAACCAAGCTTCATATCTTGAATGCTGAGGTTGTGACTGTGTTTAAGAGCAAGTAGGAAGTTTTCCGTACAACTCTATCTAATTATGAAAAATCAAAAACAATTAATTGCGAATCGTTAGCGGTAGTATTTGCTCAGTTACTCATTTATTCTTGTTCGGTTAGGAATTCGTGTTGGTGTCATTATGTTCAGGTACAGGATATTTTTTTCATTTTACATGCACCGTTTCACAAAAGCACAGATTTCGGAAGTAATCATCGATACGTATTTTAAAACACCACAGAATCGGACTTTTTTTGTCCTTCTGATAGTGTGTTCCAGAAGTTTACGATTCCTCGTTCCATACGAAGCCTATGTGATACCTTGTTCATGCATGGGATGTTGAGTTTGTAACGGTGTCCTCGGGTGTTACAGGGTCTCCGCAGATGAAATAGTAGCCGCAGTATGGGGACGTGATTCAAGTGTAGTACTCGATGGGTCATAACAAGGCTAATTCTTACTCGGCTGTAGGATAGTGTGTAGAGTCCGGGCCTTTCACTACATTTTTCATGCGGAAGCTTTCGTAGAATGCGTATCATGCTAGTTGTGCTGTGTTATATTTTCTCCAGCTTTTCCGTTTCCCACTGGATTATAGGATAGTAAGCTGGGGTGCCGTATTCAATAATTGGTCTGATAAGTGAACTAAATAGGCGAGGGACGGTTTCTCCTGACCATGTGAAGAAACGGCGTCGTAATGCCCAGAGCATACGAAGTATTGCACGATGCAATTTCTCTGTATTTTCTAGTGATCTCATATCCTGTCGCTAGAGCACTCCTAAGTCTTTGACGGATGACTTGGGGTGGAGCAACCGCCATCCAAGGTGTATGATCAAGTGGCTGAACGTCTGGTGATACTGATGAACTCTGTCTTGCTTGCGATAAGTGGGAGTTGCATTTCAGTAGACCAGTTTGACAGTCGATCTAAGCCATGCTAGAGGCGAGTGCAATGGTCCTGGTTCTAAATGGTGCTCCAGATTTTCAACTCATCTAAAAACAGGGCAGTTGGTAACTGGAGCTGCTTCGGAAGATAGTTGGTATAAATAAGATATACTACTGGCCCAAGTACAATTCCTTGAGGCACGCAACTGGCTGATGGGAACAAATCTGTCAGATAGTCTTTGACCTGTACTCTAAACTTTCGTCCTACAATAAACTCGTGTAACCACTGTAGTAGCGTACCACCGATTCCGTATGTCCTCAGTTTACAATGGAGTACCTCGTGGTTCACTCTGTCAAACGCCTTACTAAAGTCGATGTACACCACATCAATATCCTTCTGTTCATTGAGATCTCGTACCCCCGGGTGGTTTGCGTATATCACTTTGGTGATGCAGGATCGCCCTTTCGTAAAGCCGTGTTGCGCTGGCGTCAATACGTCTGTCGATTCGAAGAACGACAGCAGACACTTTTTCACGACCTCGAGAATTTTGGGTAATATCGAAGTTAAAAAGATCCGTCTATAATTCTCTATTTTACTCGGATCACGACCTTTGGAATGCGTTGTCACTATCGAGCCTTTCCAGTCGTTGGGGACAGATCCTTTAGAGAGTGATTTACTGCATAGGTTTGTCACAGCTGATGAGATGACATGCAATAGGGACTTGAGTATTAGTGGGTGAAGTCCGTCTGGTCCGGGTGGCTTTGCACCATCTAGGTTGACTAGCAACTGATACACTTCGACTGCACCACATTGTAAGCTGTCGACCAAGACTGACGAAATCTGTGCCGGTACTGGAACAGCCGCCGGTTTACTGGGAAATACGGGGAGGAAGTGCGCAGCCAAGGCGTCCGCGAGCTCCGCGCTTGAAATGAGTGGCTTTCCGTCTAAGCTCTCTAAGACCGGTAAGTCGCCCCCAGGTTTCAGTTGACGTTTCAAGTATGCAAATATTCTTTGGGGTAAAGTAGTGGCTGAGGATGCTAGCTCCTCTTTGAACTGCCGGCGTTTTTTGATCGTTGCGCCGTTACATAAGTTAGGCTGTTTCTTGTACACTATGTAACCTATATTACAACCCGAGATGAGGTATCTCTCCCCAAGTTTGCGACGCCTTCGCGCTAACTGTCTACATTCCGTATCAAATAAATGCAGCTTGACAGAGCCGACTTTTGAATACTTTAGGGGAACCAACCGAGTACAAAGCGCGTCAAGCATTCTTTCATTAATGAACAACAGACCACAAGCGGCGCATCCTGTGGTAGTGTTCAATCTGCCTAACTTGAGGCTTGGACCAGCTCGTTGAAGTCAGTCTTTCAATATTTGAATGTCGACTTCCGTTGGTTGTTCTACGGTAACGGCAGTTCTATGTGTGCCACAATGGAGCAGTGGTCACTGTTCGCCAGAGGTTCGAGGACTCTGATCTCTTTCAGCTTCTGTTCGCAGCTCCTAAACAATAGGTCCAGACGAGATGCCGAGTGAGGAGTTACGCTGGTCGGTTGGATGACATGTTGCATTGCCCCGATTTCAATAGTCATTTTAGCGAATTGGGCCTCAACGTCGCCATGACTGGTAAGAAGCCTAACGTCTGGCCAGAATATCTTAGTTAATTTTAGATCCCCCATCTGTAAGGAATGAGGGCAGCTCATGTGCTTCTGCATATATGGTAGCCAATCGCAACAACGATTTTATGGGCTACGGTAGAAAATCTACTATTAGCTCTGTCTGTCTGAGGCGGATTGTGCACCAAACTTACTCGTATAACTTATCCTCGCTCCGATAGGTGCTGGTAAGTTTGCCAGTTAGTGAGGGTTTTATGTACAACAGAACACCACCGTCAGCCTTTGATTTTCGGTCTCATCGGAAACAAGATTTTCCTGATATGACGACTTCTTTGATATAACGTCGGAGTTCAGACAAGTCTCTGCAAGTCCTAAAACATCCGGCCGCTCCAAGACAGCGAAGCGGCACAGTTCGTCACGTTTGTTCATTAGGCTGCACAAGTTGGCGAATGCCACACGGAAGTCCTGGTAGATAGCACGGGACGTGTCTGGAGGTTGAGCAACCTGTTGTTACGGGTTCGTACATGCTTCTTGGTCACGCAAACATTCACTATTTGTAAGTCAGTCTCACCTTCTTCAGTACGGCGTTTGAGCTCAAGGACCGCGGACTTTAAACCATCCATGTCTTTGGGTTCCAAGTCTCGGCGGATGTGAACCTATATCACTTTCAGTCTTGACAGACGAGACAATATGCGCTGCGGTATATTCTGATTTGCAAAGGTACTTCTCAGTGGTCTACATGACTGGCTGTTTTCCTGGACAAGTCGGATTACTTGTTTAATCGTCACACAGTCTATCGATGAGCCCCTAGAGGAACCCAACTTAGTGATCATAACGTATCTGAGGGTTTTCATCTTTTGACTCTGGTAGGTGAAAGACCATGAGATTTTGACGCCTCAGCGAAATCGGTGATGAGCCTGTGGGAGCAAGACTAGAGGCGCTTATCGGTTTGGGTTGTGTTTAGCACCAGGGACGCCTGAAATCGATTACGTGGCACCTTGCGCTTTTGAGCTGTCCATGCATCCTCGGTGTTTAGAATTTCACAGACAGGCTCTAATAAATTCACGGACCGATTAGTGAAGCGGCGTTTAGTAGGTTACGAGTCTGAATCTTCAATCTGTGGGGAATTTTGAACCTGAGGCTCGGCCGGGGTCGAAGACGCTGGCGGTGGTGCAGATCGCGGAGCGACAAGGGAAGGCGAGGTGACAGAGGTACTTTTACGAGGGCGTTTGACCCCACGTGGTAAACTTTTTGGTCCTGCCTGGAAGATCGATTTTCTCGTAGTTGTTGGCGGTCGCTGTGTATTCTGATGAATGCATGAACTTAACAGGAAGCTAGTCCCAGGAAAAGATGCTGTTTATCTAATAAATCAGATTAGTTAAAATGGTGTTCGTTGCAAAAATGATGAATGGCAAATGGTTCAAGCAGACGCTGTAGCTTAGTCTGGTTGAGTGTTGGTATCGTTTGATGTTAACAGATGTGCGATCACCGTTGTGTGTAAACAAAACA